TGCTGCAGGGGCTGCGATTGCTTCATAGTGCGGTGCTCAACCTCTTGCGCTGCCAGGGAGACCCCCAGGCCTTTCGCACAAGCTGTCCCGTGGGACCCCTGGCTTGGTCTCTGCAGGGCGGCTGCCCCCAAGATGCTGCTGGGTGTTTCACCACGTCCGGGTGGACACTCGTCATGAGGGCGTGAGTCAGAGGCGGCCGCCTGCTCAGCACATCAGGAGCCCAGACAGGGGCGAGCCAGCTGGATCCCAGGGTGCGGGGTGTGGTCACTGCCCTGCCTGCCACCCTCTGCCCAATACCGGAACCCAAGGGCTGGGGCCGCGTGGCACAGCCTGGGGTCGCCACCAGCAAGCCCCTCGTTCTCTGGCTGCCTCCTGGGGTCAGCTGGGGCCGCTTGTGCTGCCAGCTCCCCGCGCCCCCGTCAGCCCTCACTTTGCTCCTCTGGCCTCTGCTGGCACGGCCCCCCACGCCCCTCGGTGCTCTGCAGCCAGGGGTGCGCTGCTCAGCCTTGGCTGCCTCCCCAAGGCCCAGGGCGGCCGGGGGGCACCGGGAGCAGTGGCACTGCATGGACACGAGGTCCCCGTCCTGCGCTAGCTCACTTGGCCCTGTCGCACAGGGGGCAGGATAGGGCTCTGCTTCGTGACCCCACTGGTCTGCCCCCACCATGTGCTGCAGGTGCCCCCAGACTCGGGGGGCCGGGGCTGACCTGGGCAGGCACCCCTGGCACTTAGCACCAGAACAGCCACCCCGAGCACCGGGGTCCTGTGGGGCTGTGCAGGGGTGACATGGCGAGACCCGATGCCAGCCAGGCCATGGGGGGAGAGGCGGAGCCTGTGCTGGGGAAGTCCTGTCCTCTGCGGGCTCCTGGCCTGCGGGTCAGGGTTCAGCTTGTCTGACCTCAGAGAGGTGGCCTCCGGGCACCTGCTACCTGCCACACGCTCTGGGTCCCTGCGGGGCTGGGCGACGCTGTCTGGGGGCTCACCGTGCGGGGGGCGGTCGAGGCCCACGCTGCTCTGCCGGGTCCTGCTTCATGACCGAGGACACCAGGTGGGAGAGCCAGGGACTGCCAGGGCCCACCTGCGGAGCCCTGGGCCTGGGGGGCAGCAGAGCCCCCGGGCTTGGCATCCCTTGCACAGCCAGGTCCCCTAGGACAAGAGGGTGCTTGGGGAGGAATGCGCTAGTGCAACCAGTGAGCCCATGAATGGGCCCACAGCAAGTAGGGGTGCCGCTGGCGGTTGGGGTGTGGGCCACTGGGCTGCAGGGCCTGGTGCCTGTGGACGTGGGGGCGCGTGGAATGACTCTCCCCTGAACCTATGCGGGGGCAGGTAGACAGCAAATGTCATGGGTGGAGCACCAGGGGGTGACAGCCTGTGCACGCGGGCGCAGGCTTGGCGGGGGCGGGCCGGGCAGCAAGCAGGGGCCCCGGGGGCCGTGGGGTCTGGATGGGACTCCAAGGAGGCAGGGGCGGGGCCAGGGGCGCGCTGGGGTCCGGCTACAGACCCAGGGGCCCGGGGACGGGGCTGGGCCTTGGGGGTGGGCTGAGCACATCTGAAGAGGGCGCCCGCACCTCTGCTCGGTGGCTCGGCCCTCGTGCCGTCGCTAAGCAAAAGCAGCTAAACAAGAGAGAACCGCGGGCCTTGTGGACAGGCCGCGGGGGCTCTGCCCCGGAGCAGCGCCCCCAGCCCAGCTCACCCTCAGGCCCTGGGGTCCGAAGGAGAGCAGACTGCTCCGAGAGACCCGAGGCGGAGGCCGTCCGGGCCGGTGTCCCCAGGAGGGTGTGCCCCGCTGCCCGGCTCCTGGGGCTGGAGGCTGAGCGGGCAGGCCGGTGCCCCTCCCCGCAGCACCCCTGCCGGAGCCGGCTGGGGCCACCTGCCCCTGCACTGGCTGCTGTGAGGGCTGCGGGCCTCTTGGGGCCAGCGGGTGGGGCTGGTGGGGGGCCTTGCATGACGAGGGGCCGGGAACGCAGGGTGGACCCCACACGTCAGCACCCGGGGAATTCCCTCTCGGCGGTGGAGAGGTGGAAACCTGTCAGAGGGTGCTCAAGTGTGAATCCTCAGCCCCGCAGCCCCACCCCCCTCACCACCACGCCCTGGGGACCGCCTCAGCGTCTTGCCCCACCCAGCCCCACCCCCCCAGCCCAGTCCCCTCCCCCCAGCCCAGCCCCCTCCCCAGTCCCCTCCCCCACCCAGCAGCGCGTCCCAGCCACTCCCCTGCCCAGCCCTCCCCCCACCCGGCCCAGCCCCCCTCCTGCCCAACACCCCCTGCCCAGCACCCCAATCCTCCCCCATGCCCTCTCCTGCCCACCCCAGCCTGCTCCACCCGGGAGCCCCGTCCTCTCCTCTCTGCTGGGCTGTGCTCTGTGCCAGGGTGGCCCGGGGACCCTGCTTCTCCGCGAGGACCCAGCCCCGCTCAGCTCAGGAACGTTTGCTGTGGCAGAGACACCAGCCCAGCAGAGAGAGCCCAGGGCACCGCGGGGCTCAGGGCTGTGTGGGCACAGAGCCCTCTGACTCTGGGCACCCTGAGAACCCCTGGGGCCTCCTAGGCCCTCCCAGCCCCGCACACCCCTGTCTTCCAGGGGCCCTGGTGGGCTCCCGCGTACCAGCCCGGTCCTCACTGCTGGCTGAGGGTGGCGCCCGCCCGTGGGCCATCCGTGCTCGGGAGGGGCGGGGGGCGGGGGCCCGCAGCAAGTCTGGGGGCCTCGGTGCGCATACACTGAGGCTCTCTGTCCACCCATCTCTCGGCCTGGCCGTGGGGTGTGCGGGGACTGTGGGTGGTGACCCTCTGGTGGGCGGGGCCGCATCCCTGACTTGGACATTTCCGAGGAGGGGCAGTTCTATTTGGTTCCGCTTCCAGAGATGAGCCAGGACTTGCAGGGAAGGGTTCAGTTTCCAGGTGCAGGGCAGGGCCACGGGCTCAGGAGGCAGGGCCGGCAGGACGCAGGGGCCAGACCCGCATGCTCGGCCAGCGGCCAGCGGCCAGCCTGGCCTGCGCTCCGGGACGAAACGCCTGGGGTGTGAGCCAGGCCGGGGCAGCCTGCCAAGTCTGCAGGGTGTGACCCTGGCGTGGCACCGGCCCCACCGGGGAGGGGCCGCAGGGGGCGAGCGGGCTGCGGATACCCAGCTCAGATGTGCCCTGTCCAGCCGAGCCCGCAGGGGACTGCAGGCAGTGCCAGCCTGTCTCTGCAGGGCCCCCGGGACAACAGGCCCAGCACGGCGGCCCCAGGGGTTCTCAGATCGTGGGGGCCAGGCCCCCGGGAGGCGGGGGCGTCCTCACCTTGCCATGACTGGGCACAGCCGGCTCTGGCCACGTAGCCCTGGTCCCTGCCGGCATGCTCCCTGCGGCGCGCCTCTGCCGCTCCCGGTGCGGACGCCCGGCCCTGGGGGCGCGGCACCTGATCGCAGACACAGAGGCCCTTTTCCCCAGCGCGGTCAGGTCCACCCAGGCTCCCCTTTCACCCGGCACACAGGCGGCCCAGGGGGCCCAGACTCTCTGCCACGCCCCCTCTCCCCGCACTGGACGGCGCCTGTGACCGAGCTCCAGAGCCCTCGTGGCCCTGCCCTGGCGCCGAGGGAGGGACGAGGCTCAGCGGGGCGGGGGTGCCGGCCCGGCGGGCCCCACTCCTCGGCAGGGGCTAGCACGAAGCATCTTCTCTTGAAGGCCGGCGGTGTCCCCGTGGGGATGCCAGCCCCTCCCTGAGCCTGGCAGGTCCTCGGAAGTGCCTGGGCTGCCCCGGGGGGGTGGGGGGGGGCGCGGGGACGCTGAGGACCTTCGAGATAGTCTGGGCTGGGCCCTGGCTGTGGGGCTGGCCGGCGCCTTCCTTTCTGGCCTCATGGCCTCATGGTCAGTGCAGGCGGGGACAAGACCAGCCTCGGGGCTGTGGGTGCTGAGGTGAGGTGGGCACCTGGGGGCGAGCGGCACCAGGCATTCTGCCCTGGGCATTCGCTCTCTCCCCAGCCCCAGGCCCCCAGGGTGGACACTCTGCTCCCTCTCTTACAGGCCAGCCCTGGGTCCTGCCCGGCCCTGCGGACCGGCTCCCGCCTTCCTGGTAAGTGCCCTGCCTCCCGTGGGGTGGGGAGGAGGGTGTCCCGTAGGGGGCGGGCTCCCGCAGCCTGGCACTGAGCCAGAGCTGCCCAGTGTGGGTCAGTCCTGCACACCTGCTGGGGTGCTGGCGGGCCCATCCGCACAAGTACAGGGCTGTGGAGCAGGGCCCGGCTGGCCAGTGTCCCCGAGTCCGAGCAGCAGCGTTATTCCCCGCAGGAGTGCAATGTGCCTCGGGAGAGGGGCGGGCTCTGGGAGAAGCAGGCCCAGAGGGGGCATGTGGGGGCATGGTGGCCCGGCTCCTGACCGCAGCCTCTGGAGGGCAAAAGGACAGGGGCCAGGGCAGCCCAGGCCTGTCGTCCACTCCGGGATGCCGCCCACCCGGCCCCCGCCCTGCCTCGACTTCCTCTCCCCTCCCCACCCCAGCAGACCCCTCCGTCACAGCCGCCCAGCCCCGGCCGCCGCGCACTCTCCCAGACGGCTCCTCAGTGGCCGTTTGACCCGGCCCCAGCCCCATCTCTCAGAGGAGGCGCTCGGGCAGGCCCTCAGGCCGCACAGCTGGACGAGGACGGGTGGGCTGGTGCCCGGTGGCGGCTGGCTGGGCAGGCGCACCCAGCTTGGAACCCGCGCCCTTGGTCTCATGTGCCAGAGGGCAAAGGGGTGGTCGGGAGCCCCAAATGTCCTAGGACGAAAGGCACAGTCCCTCCGTTGGCCTCAGACGTCGGCGCCGGGCAGTGGCGTCGGGCTGGGGACTCTGAGGGCTCCGTGGTTTCCTGGGGAGGAGCCAAGCGTGCAGAGATGGCCGTGGGGACCAGCAGGGGGCTTCCTCCCCAGGGACTCGGCTGGCCTCACCCTGGGGCCTGGAGCTGCGGTCGACCACAGTGGGGGCGGGAGCAGGGGCCGGCCCTCAGCGCTGACGGGGCTGAGGGGCAGGCCCAGCCTGGGTCTTCCCGGGCCTCAGGGCCTCGCGGGTGGAAGGCAGGAAGTTCTGGCTACCAGGGCTGCCCAGGGACCGGCAACAGGAAGTCCCAGACGAGGAAGCGCTGGCCACAGGCTTAGTGAGGCAGGCGGCGGCCAGCAGGAGGGAGCTGCGGGCACAGCAACCGGGTGTTGCTCTGGGCAGCTCCGGGGCGGCAGACCTCACCCACGGGGAGATGCAGGCCCCAGCCCCGCTGCGTGGCCCCTGAGGCATGGCCGCCCGGGGCCCCAGGACACCTGCCCACAGCCCATTGCCAGGCGGGAGAGCCATGTGCTGGGTCAGGGCCATCAGGTTAGTGGGCAGCTGGGGGTGGGGCTCGGGAGGGGACGCTGGCCCAGGCCTGCAGAACCACTCGGGAGGCGCCGCGAGGAAACTAGGGCCCTCGTGGGAGGAAACTAGGGCCCTCGTGGGCCACAGGAGCCCCAGCCTGGGCCTGGAGAGGCCATAGCTCCAAGGGAGCCCTGGGAGCTGCGTGGGGCAGCTGGGCCCCGGAGCAGGGCTCTGCGGCTTGGGCTGGTGCCCAGTGGCAGCGGGAGTGGCGGCAGCCTGCGTTGGGAGGGCCGGGAGGGCCGGGGGGCGGCCTTCCACCCCACCCTGCCGGGGCGCCGGGGGCTAGGGCTCTGTGCGTGCGAGAGTCCGTGTAGGTGTGTGGGAGCGCGGATGTGAGTGTGAGCGCTGTGTGAGCGCCGCATGAGCGCCCACGCCGGGGGCTGGTGTCCAGGGCCGGCAGGGAGCACAGAGCAGGGCCCGGCCAGCGGGGAGTAGGGCCGGAGCCGCAGGCCAGGGCGCTCTGGTGAAGCCCAGGTCTTGCTGCCTGCCCCCCGCGGGCGGCTCACAGGCCCCCACAGGCCAATTTTGCTTTTGATTCTCTCACAGACAGATTCTGGGAAGAGGAAGGGCGAGAGAAACTGAAAGGAAAGATGAGGTGGGCGTGAGGGCCAGAGCCTCCCGGCTGTTCCTCTACGCGCCGCCTGGTGCCCGCGTGTGCCAGGCAGGCAGGGAGGGCGCCGACCACTGACCCTCGAGTGTTCACCAGGACGAGGCAGACAGGGGTCATGCCTCAGCGGTGATACGTGGGGCGATCTCTGGGGAGCAGGGAGCCTGCCCCCGTGGGCGCCGTGGGCCTGGGCGAGTCCCGGCCTAAGGCACAGGTGTGCAGCAGCAGCGGCCTGTGGGCGTCAGGTGGACAGCTGAGACTGACCTACGCCCGGCTGCCCACCCCGGCCCCCCTGAGGGTCGCCCTAGGTTTGGATCTGGGCGTGTGTGAGCGTGACCCCTTCCCTGGTCTCTCCTCCTCCGGGACTGGGGCCCCACCCCAGCTGGTCCTTCGGCTGCCCGTCACAGGCCGCCCTGGTCACTGCTGACAGGAACCCACCCGTGGCCGCCCGAGGCACAGGCAGGGAGGGGCCTGCAGGGTCAGAGGCAGCTGGGGAGGCCCTCGGGCCCCTCTGCCCCGTGCTCGGCTCCCCGTGCACAGGAGCCTGCAGTGTGCACAGAGGCTGCAGGGCTCAACGCGAGTGCAGAGTCCCGCGCGCAGACTGTCTGCGGCTCTGCTGGCGGTGACCGCACATCCCTGCTCTTGGCGGACATCCCCGGAGCCGTCTTTGTGGGGCCAGTGGTTTTCACCCGCTGGCTCTGCCCCAGCCTCCATCCTCAATCTCAACTCAACCTGGAGGAGGAGCCTTCTGGAAGCTCACGGAGGCCAGCAGCCACCCATGCCAGCCACGCCGACCCCGACCCGTGTGCCCCGCCGTGGGGCAAGCCAAGGATGACCAGCCGCTGGCCGCCGGAGGCCTTGGGGCCCTGGCTGTTCGGACCTGTCGTGGTTGCCAGCGGGCCCGTGGCGAGGACTCTTCCCGTTCTCCACGGGTGGGTGGTGGCTCAGTGCAGACCTGGACCCAGGTGTCCAGCTGTTTCTGACCACGCCCATCAGGGCAGCTTGGCTGGCTCCACAGTGGCCAGCGGTGGGGCTTGTGCCCGGCAGAGGAGGGGACTAAGCTTCCTGCCCGTGAGCAGATGGGAAAGCCAAGCCCCTGGGGTGGATGCGTGGAGTGACCACACAGGCCCCTGGGGCTGGGGCAACCTCAGGGCGTCCTGGGAGGCAGCAAGGAGATCACGCGGCCGGGAATGTGGCCCCTTGTCGGCTTCTCCTTCTCCCACCTTTCCCAAGCCCCAGCAGCTGGCGTCAGCAAGCCGGGCTGAATCCCCCAGGGGCCCAAGCTCCCACCCACGGTCAGTCTGCCGCCCCCCCGCCGTGAGCCCTCAGCCTGCCCCTGAGGGGCCGCGGCCAGGCGAGAGTGACCCCTTAGGGTCCAGCCACCCCGCCGCACAGGAGCGGGGCTGTGACGGGCCCCAACTGCCCGCAGAGAAGCCTGCCTGCCCTCGCGGCAGCTGCCCCGGCCTCCCCGGACACACCCTGGTCTCCTTGCGGATGGGGGCATGTCCTATGCCCCGCGGGCGCACTCTCGGCTTTCCCTGCCTGCCGAGCAACCCCAAGCTCCCCCGCCACCAGGGTTCACATTCCCCGTCTCCTTCGGGGTCGGCCAGGTGCCCCTCCAGTGTTCAGTGGGGCGCAGGCCGCCCTGGAGGTCAGGGGAGCCTGCTGGAGGCGGGCCCACCGGAGCGCTCTTTCTTCTCCGGAGGCAGGTGCTTCGGTGCCGTGGCCGCGTCCTGCCCTGCGGAGCTCCCCGGCCCGGTCGCTTCTGGTGGGTTCCCTGGAGACTCCTCCAGGGTGTCCGCGTCACCTGCGGGGCTCTCCCTTTCCCGCCCGGGCGCCTCTTCTTCTTCTGGCCCCCACTGCCCGGCAGCACAGTGTTGAAATCAGGGGCGAGGGCAGGTGTCCTTGCCTGTCCCGCGCGTAGGGGCGCGCGCAGGCCGCCTCCCCAGGAGGGTGGTCCCGCCGGCCAGCGCAGGAGGCGCCCTGGCCCCCGCTTGGCGGGTGTCTTCACCGGGCAGCTTGCGCCCGAGATGACGGGTGCTCTGCCCTTCGTCTGGCTGCCGTGCCGCTCGCGTCTTGCTTTCTGAGTGTTTCATCAGCCTCGCCACCCTGGGATCACCCCACTTGCTCCTTTTCACACGGGGTGGGCTGTGGTAGCAGCGGGGGCGGGGGGCCTGACATCGGGGCTCTGGCTGCTGGTGGGCTCCCCTCAGGACGCTGTGGGCGGGGTGTCCTGGTGATGAGTCGCAGGATGGGTCCCCCCATCTGGAAGCTCGTGAAGGGCTGCGCTGAGGCCGGGCCTGGAGCCGCCCCTGGTGTGTGTGGGCGGGAGGAGAGCCGGGGAGAGGGCACCTGGCCGGCTGGGTCTGGAAGCACCAGGTGGACGCTGGAGGCCTGGAGGTGAGATGCGATGAGGCCAGCGCTGCGGCGGAGCGGGGCAGGGTGGAGCGTGCGGAGAGGAGCGATGGCGGGGAGGCTCGGGGGGCGGCAGGCCTGGGAGGCAGGGGTGGGAGCTGCCCGGAGTGGTCCGGTGGAGGACAGGCAGGGCGGCAGGAGGTGGAGGCGGCCTCGGGGGGTGGCAAGGGCAGAGGCGGGGGTCCGTGAGGCCGGGCGGAGGCTGGTTGCAGTGAGAAGGGGCCCACAGAGCCGGCCGGGCCAGAAAACCCAAGCGGACGGCTGGGGGGATCTGGTGGGGCCACCGCAGAGGGCCCCGGAGGCCAGCGAGGGCCCCTGCGGGCCCAGCTGTGGTGCCATCGGGTGACGCCCGTGCCAGGCAGGCAGAGCGGGAGGCTGCCCGGGGCTCCTGGAGGGCCTGCCTCGCCCAAGCAGGCTGGAGGGGCCGCGCCGACCGTCCCGCGGGGTCACTCAGGGAAGCAGGGCGGGCCAGAGGGCAGGGGCAGAAGGGCCTGCCCAGCAGCGGGCACGGCCGGGCTCCCCCGGCCGGAGCCTGGTGGGGTCCCGGGCCAGCCGGGTCCTCCGCCACCCCGCGCGGCCCGTGGGACGGGGGGGGGCATCGCCGGGGGCTCGGGGGGCAGCCCGTGCCAGGGCCCCGGGAAGGGCCGGCGGGCCCGGCTGGAGGCGCGGGGCGCAGAGCGCGGGCAGCCGAGCCTCCGCGCGGGCGGGGGGCGGGCGCGGGGGGCGGGCGCGGGCGGGGGGCGGCGCGGGGGGCGGGCGCGGGCGGGGCTGCCGCGTTTGCCTCGGGGCGGGGAGACTTGGCGCCCCGCCCCCGGCGCCGCGGCGGGGAAACTGAGGCGGGCGGCGGCCGGGCGGGCATGGCGGGCGCGGGGCCCGGGGCGCGGGGCTGGGGCCGGCGGGGGGCGGGCGCCGGGGCCGAGGCTCCGCGCCGGCGCGCGCGGGGGAGACGGGCCGCGGCCCGGGCGGCGCTGCCGGCCGCGTGGACGCCGTGAGTACCGCGCCCGGCCCGGCCCGGCCCGCCCGGCCCGCCCGGCCCGAGAACAAAGGCGGGCGTGGGCCGGCCCGGCGCGGACCCGGGGCTCTGCCGGGAGGGGCTGCGGGGGGGGGCGGGCTGCGGGGGCGGGCGGGGGGCAAGCGGGGGGGGGGGGGTCGGGGGGCCGGCTGCGGGGGTCGGGGGCGGGGGAGTGAGAGAAGGGCCAGAGGAGCCAGAGGAGCGGGGTGGGCCCGGGCGCGGTGCGGGGGCCTCGCCCGCGCTTCTCTTTGTGTTTCTGGGGTGGCCTGCGACTGCCCCCCCCCCCCCCCCCCCCCCCGCGCCCCAGCTCGCCGAGTGGGTGGAGACAGGCACTGCTGTGCAGAGGGACCAGGGGCGCCTGAGACCCGCGTGTGACCGGGCCCTCCGGTGCCCCCAAGGCAGGGGTCTGGAGAGGCGCTCAGGCGGGGGGGTGCAGTGGTCATTGAGGGGCGCTGCCCGCAGTGTGAGGAGCCCAGGCTCGGAGCGCGCTGGGGCCGGCGGAGGGCTGGGCGGCTGACGCGGGGTGGACGATGGGCCCCCGTGGGCCTCGGTGGCCCCGAGCCGCCAGCCCATCCACCAGCCCCAGGACCCTGCCCCGCACTCCGGGCTCGCTCCGGCCTCTCCCGGCCACTGTTCCCAGGCTGTGTCCGCTGGTCTCCGCGTTACACCTCCAGCAACCAGGGTCTCAGGGCCTCCCAGGAGCCCAGCCGGCCGGGGACCCAGGGGACTGGCTACCTGCTTTCCTGCTGCCCTCCCAGGAAAGACACCTGGGGGCTGGCGGGGTGGAGGGTGGGGTGTTGGTGGGCGAGCCCCTCGCGTGCCCTCTGCCAAGGTGCAGGGAGGGCACCAAGTTCTGGTGCTTCTTAGAGCCCAGGCTTCATGTTGCGCATCCTGGAGGCCAGCAAGCTCCTGTCCAGTGCAGACCCCACCGTAGGCTCGCCTGGCCCTGCGCGCAGGGTGGTTGCGCCCAGGCTGGCATGCCTGGACTAGGGGTCCCAAGTCCACTGAGCACTGTGCCCAGCCCAGGGGCCTGAGCTCACTGTGGAGTCCAGCCGCAGCCAGGGGACCCGCCGAGCCCAGGGTCCCTGGAAGACGGCATGTGGTTGAATGGGTCAGGGGCTGATCCTGTGGCCACACGGCCCTGGCCCTCCTGCCCGGAGGCTGGGCTCTCGGGCGAGGGCTCCCCAGGCCTTGAGCCTCGGTGCTGGCGCTGGCCTCTTGGCAGTGCCCTCTCCGGACCCCGCTATGCCGTCTCGTCCTGCACCTGGCTGAAGAGTGTCTCCTCCTTCATTGCAGCTTCATGGCGGCCGAAGAGATGCATTGGCCAGTCCCCATGAAGGCCATTGGTGCCCAGAACTTGCTCACCATGCCCGGGGGTGTGGCCAAGGCTGGCTACCTGCACAAGAAGGGGGGTACCCAGCTGCAGCTGCTCAAATGTGAGTCCCAAGGTGCTGGGGGTGCGATGGGAGGACATGGGGCATGGTGGGGCTGCAGCACATCTCCCCACCCCACAAGTGGGCGGAGCCTTGGCTTCCTGCAGGGTCCACTCTCCCGAGTTCCCTCCCTCTGGTGGCCAGTAACCAGCCTCCCCAGCCCCCAGCACTGTGGGAGGGTCCGGGAGGTGGGGCTGGGCAGAGACAGAATGGGGACTTGGTGCAGAGGGCTAACCAGCTGGCCAGGGCTGGGGGCCCTCGCCTTACTGGGGGAGTTCGGTCAGCTGGTCAGCCTGTCATGAACCCAAGTGCCAAGCCAAGAGTCCTCTGGGTGCCTGAGAGCCAGGGTCCGGTGGGAGGACCTCGGGCTAGAGGGAGGGCCCTGGCCTGGGAGGCGCGCCATCATCAAGACCCCAAAGGCCAAAGAGCACGGGGCTGAGACTGCCCTCTGGCCAGCCACGGTGCCCATGCCTTTGCCCAGCAGTGTTCTCTGCCAGGGCCTCCCTGGGTGCGCGCCCCAGGCTGAGCTAATGGGTTTCTGTGCGGGCAACAGTGGGTCAGCTCTCCTCTTTAGACAGGGTACAGGTCTGCTCTCCAGGAATGGGCTGTTACTGACCGGTCCCCAGGCCTGGGTATGGGCGGTTCTCAGTGTAACGGTCCAGCCTGGGGCCGGCTCCCAGTGGCTCAGGTGGGCAAGCTCTCGGGGCCCCTGGGCAGCCACCCTCACTCTGCCAGCTGGATGGGACTCTTGTGGCCCCTAGCTTCCCCCCAGTGTTCCTTGGGCAGTAGACATGCCACTCAGCCCTCCCACCCCCCAGTGCACCGTGCCCGGGGGGTGTTGCTCTGGGGCCGAAGGCCATAGGGCTGCACTTCTGGGGGAGTGGGGGGTAGGCCAGCAACCTGGCCTTCTGCCCAGCAGAGCTCGGGGGCAGGCCGCGGGGTCCCCAGAGCGGAGCCTCACGCTGCCTCGCCACACCCCAGGGCCCCTGCGCTTCGTCATCATCCACAAGCGCTGCATGTACTACTTCAAGAGCAGCACGTCCGCCTCGCCGCAGGGCGCCTTCTCCTTGAGCGGCTACAACCGGTGAGTGGCCAGACCCTGGCCAGCTGCCCCAGCTGCCCCCACGCTGGCCCAGAGGCTGTCCGGCTCCCTGCCCTGTAGGCCCAGCCGGCCCTGCTGCTCCCTTTGCCTGCGTGGCCTGCAGCCCCCGACCCCCACGGGGCACCTGCTTCCTACGTGCTGGGCTCTGCCCAGTGAGGGTCCTGAGCCTGCCTTCTGGGGCCTGGGCTCACGGGCTGAGGGGGTGCTGGGCCAGAGCCCTTAGGTGCCATAGGCCCTCAGCCTGGGGGATGCCCAGAGTGGGTACCGTGGCACTCCTGGATGCTGGCCTCTGCCTCTGATCTCCAAGGAGGCTCAGCCCCTCCTGCCTGTCAGGAGCCAGGGGTCCTGGGACCAGGCCCCAGTCTGCCCGGCCGCCACCATGGAGGGAGGGGGTTCGAGGGCCCCAAGAATGCCGAGGGGAATCAGGATCTGGGGTCCCCTGGGGAAGGATATTTCCATCCTCCAACCATAGGGTCCCCACTCTCTGGGGGTGCAGCCTTGCCCCTGGGATTGTCGAGGCCCTGTCCTGGTCTGCACACCACGCCTGCCCCCAGGTGCCCGACCCGTGGGGACCCCCCCTACAGTGCACCCCACATCCTGGCGGGGGCGCGGCCACAGAGCAGGCGTGAGTCATTTCCCTGAAATGCTCTGAGGACACTGCCGGGCAGTGGGGTGCAGGGTGTGGGGGCGGCCAAGCCCTGTGGGGCCCCTTCGGGCGGACAGGGAGGGCGACGTGTCCTCACCTCCCTGCGGCATGGGCTGTCCTGCCCCTCCCTGTCCCCGCCCTGCGCCTCCCTGTCCCTCACCCGTGCCTCCCTCCACCTGCCGCATCCATGGGGGAGCTTCCGGTCGGTCTGGCTGAGCAGTGTGGTGCGCCAAGGCTTGCGGGTGTGGGTGGGGCCCTGGCCCACTGGCCTGTGCCCGCAGGGTGATGCGGGCTGCTGAGGAGACCACGTCCAACAACGTCTTCCCCTTCAAGATCATCCACATCAGCAAGAAGCACCGCACCTGGTTCTTCTCGGCCTCCTCTGAGGACGAGCGCAAGGTGAGGGCTGGCCAGGGCAGGAGTCCGGGGGGCACGGGCAGCTGAATGGGCAGCCCCTGCCCTGCCCTTGGAGCCTGCAGTTGCGGCCGCCATTCCCCCATGGCGGTCCCTGAGATGGGCTGGCGTGGTGGGGAGGGGGCCCAGCCTGGGCAGCACCGTGCCCACCACGGCCCTGACTGACCCACAGAGCTGGATGGCCTTGCTGCGCAGGGAGATCGGCCACTTTCATGAGAAGAAGGAGCCGCTCCTGGATGCCAGGTAGGCCCAAGGGTGCGATGGACAGGTTGGCGGGCCTGCCCAGCTCCTAGCCCTGGGGCCTGGCCGGAGCCCCTCCCCCAGGTGTCTCTGGAACTGACGGGCTGCATGTGTGCCCACGCGCGCGTGATGGGTCTCTGGGTGCCAGCTCAGCCCACCAGCCCAGACCTCCTGCGAGGCGGGCCAGCCAGCCCCCAGGGAGGAAGACGGTCCTATCCTTTCATAGCGGAGGAAGCTGAGGCCCAGGGCAACCCCAAGGCAGCTCCTGCTGGGCCCTGCGGTGGGCTCAGCCTGGACGTGATGGGCTCTGGGCAGGAGTCGAGGGGACATGGGCCTGGGCCCGAGGCTGGGCAGCTGCTGGCCAGGCAGGGTGGCCGTGCTGGTGGCAGGCCCACGAGCTTGGGGAGGGCACACGGGCCTGAGTGCCTGTGCTTTGCGTCTGGTCTTGTGTCCGCGCGTCCCAGCTGGGTGTGCCCTGCGCTCACGCCCGCCCGCCCTCCCGCACTCAGTGACTCCAGCTCAGACACAGACAGCTTCTACGGCGCGGTCGAGCGGCCCGTGGATATCAGCCTGTCCCCATACCCCACAGACAATGAAGGTGAGGCCCCCGCGCGCCCCCCGTGGCCCCTTGTGTGCCGGTGCCAGGACGGGGCATCCACTCAGGCTGTCTTGGAGCAGCCGAAGCTGCTGCCCGTGCCCTGCTGGCCGTGGCCCCGGCTGCTACGCTGAGGGGCAGCCTGCAGCCCGCTGGGCGCTGCCAGCCACCCTGCCTGAGCTGCCCTCTGCCCGCAGATTACGATGAGGAGGACGACTCGTACATGGAGCCCGACTCCCCAGAGCCCCTGAGGCCCGAAGGTGGGTGGGTCCCGGGGCGGAGTGGGGGCGGGGCCGGGCACCTGGCTCAGGGCCGTGGAAAGTCAGCGTGGGTGTGGACTTGGGGGCCTCTTGAGAGGAAGCCCGGGCCTCTTGTCTGAGCCTGGCTCTGTCCCGGCCACTTGCTTGATGTCCCTGAGCCTGTCACCTTGGCATGAGCAAGCACAGTGCCTGCTTCCTCCCACCAACTCCCCCATTTTGAGGGGTCCCAGCCTCTCCTCCAAGGTTAGGGACCCTCCTGGCCTCTAGCCTTTCCCCCTGCCCCCCAGGGATGGGTGTTACGCCAGCTTCGGGGCTTCTGTCTTTGTATGGAGGAGCTGCTCCCAGGGGGCAGGGCACCAGACATGGGGACCGTGGTGCGGGCCGTTGCTCCCGGAGGGCAGGGTGCCAGGTGCGGGGGGCCGTCTCCAGCAGGTGGGCGGGCGGCACTTACCGCTGGGCCTTTGCTTTGCAGATGCCCTGACCCACCCGCCAGCCTACCCCCCGCCCCCAGTGCCCGTGCCCAGGAAGCCCGCCATGGCTGAGCTGCCCCGGGCCCACTCCTTTACCTCCAAGGGGCCGGGCCCGCTGCTGCCTCCCCCTCCCCCGAAGCGCAGCCTGCCTGATGTTGGTCTGACCTCCGAGGACTCCAAGAAGGAGCTGCCGGGTCTGCGGCGAGCTGAGCCTGCCCTCAGGGTGTCCGCTGCCTCCCGGAGGCTGAGCGACCCCCCGCTGGGCAGCGTGCCTGTGATGCCCAGCATCTGGAAGGCCCCCTGCCTCCGTGAGAGCCCTGGCCCCGGCCCAGAGCCCCGGCCCCCCGCCCAGGGGCCCAGCTCCACCAGCACGGCCTCTGCTGCCGCCCGGAACTGTGACAAGCTCCAGTCCTTCCACCTGTCCCCCCGGGGCCCGCCGGCGCCTGAGCCCCCACCCGTGCCGCCCAGCAAGCCCAAGTTCCTGAAGATGGCTGGAGAGGCCACCCCGAGGGAGGCAGCCAGACCTGGACTCTTCGTGCTCCCCGTGGCCCCCAAGCCTCCTGCCCTGAAGCTGCCCATGCCCGAGGCCATGGTCCGGCCCCCCGTCCTGCCCAGGCCCGACAAACCGCCCCACCCCCACCTCCAGTGAGTCCGCGCGCGCGCCGTGCACCGGGGTCCCCACCCCCGCCTCCCAAGCTGCCAGGGCCAGGCGGCCTCTCCTGCGCCAGACCAGAGGCACCAGTGTCGGCCCGTCTCTCGCAGACGTCCTGCCTGCTGGGCAGTGGGCCTGGGGTCTGCGGCTGCCCAGGGAGCAGTGGGCAAGGGAGGCCTTGGGGACACAGGCTGCCCCAGAGGCCCTGCCGTGCAGGGTGCGGCCCTCGGGGATCAGCCCGGGCATGGGCGGGGCGGGGCAGGGGGCCCACTCCCAGCAGGCAGGCCCTCCTGCGCCAGAGCCAGCCCCTTCCGCGCGCAAGGAGACGCGTGTCTCTCCCTGCCTCGCCCGAGCTCGCGGCAGGCGTTGCTGCTTTCCTGCGGGGCAGCTAGGATGCCACTGTGTCCCCCACTCTCACGGCGTCCACCCGCAGCCCCCCGTGGTGGGGGTCGGAAACCAGAGGGCTGGGTCACAGGGCGAGTGCCCAGTGGGGGCACCTCGATAGTGGGGCCTGCTCCCTGGGGCGTCGTCCCCTGACTGTCCACGCACGGCCTCCCCCATAGCCCGTCCAGTGGCCTCCCTTGGCACTCCCTGAAGGCCGGGCGCAGGGCTGCCTGGCTGCGGGTGGGGTGCCTGACCTGGGCTCCGACCTTCACGTCCTTCCAGGCTCTGGCTCGGGGAGGGATGGGGCTTGCTGAGGTCGCAGAGCTGGCCAGCGGCAGGCGGGGCCTTCTCCCACTGCGTCCAGGCACTGGTGGGGTGTGACAACATCAGCGGGGTCAGCCTCCCCGTCGCCAGTGTCCGGGCTGGGCCTGTGGGCCTCAGGCTGTCCCTGCTGCGTGGGACATCAGTGCGGCCTCCCCGAGGTCTGCCCACCAGGCCTGGCCCCTTGGCAGGTGCCCAGGCTGGCTCAGGCACGGCGGCTGCTGGAGCACGGGGCCTCGGGGTCTGACGGGTGCCTTCTTCCCTGGCCCTTCCAGGCGCTCGCCCCCCGATGGGCAGAGCTTCCGGAGCTTCTCCTTTGAGAAACCGCGGCAGCCCCTGCAGGCCGACTCCGGCGGGGAGGACTCGGATGAGGACTACGAGAAGGCAAGGCGGGGGCGGCCCCACCCAGGGAATAGCGGCTGCGGGCAGGGCGACCCCTCACTGGCCCTTCCGAGGGGGCCTGGGGCTGTGGTGCACACGTCGGCGTCGGCGCGGGCCTCAAGCTGTGGCAGCCAGTGGGGGCAGGGCCGCCATGAGCAGCACTCAGGCCCGGCCCTGACCACTGCTGGCCCCTCTCCAGGTGGCGCTGCCCAGTTCGGTCTTTATCAACACCACGGAGTCCTGCGAAGTGGAAAGGTCAGCACCAAGCCAGCCCCCCGCCTCCGTCCCGGCCTTTCTGTCCCCCGCCAGCCTCGTTGCCCCAGCCAAGCGGCGGCCAGTCTTAGTCCATCGGCCGACCCCACCCAGCCCCACCTTCCCGCGCTGCGGCCGGCCGGGGCCCTGGGGCGGCGGCTCTGCAGCGCGAGCCGCGGGATGGAGAGCAGAAGGACGGCCCGGGGGAGTGGGGCTGGGGTCCCCGGGAAGCTGGCGAGGGTGCGCACCCGCTGACCACACTGTCCGTCTTAGGCTGTTTAAAGCCACGAGCCCACGGGAAGAGCCCCAGGATGGGCTCTACTGCATCCGGAACTCCTCCACCAAGTCGGGGAAGGTAGGTGCGGCCACAGCTTCTCGCTCACGCCCCGGGCCACGGCTGTCCTGGGGGTCTCTGTCTGGCAGCTGCCCGCCAGGAGCTATATGCCACCTGCAAAGTGGGCACTGACAGCGACCCCTTGGCCTGGGCACAGGGAGGCCGAGCTCCCAGATGGGAGGCTGCTGCAGCGGTGGGAACGGCAGGAGGGCTGCCGGCTCTACCCCGTCCCTCCAAGGGCCTGCCCTGAGCCTGTTTCCCCTTGTGAATCAGGGGGTCACAGAGCAGAACTGATACCTGCCGCCGTCTCCCAGGTCTCCTCGGAGGTCCGTGGGGGGGCCGGTCTCTAGCACGTGGCTGTTGTCTCAGCCCCCCGGCCCCCAAGTGCAGAGCAGCCCCTCCCGCGCGGCCCCCGGCCAGGGGCCCAGCCTGCAGGCCCTCGAGGTCCATGTGGCTGAGGCGCCTGCTGTCACTTCCCCCGGTAGGTTCTGGTCGTGTGGGATGAAGCCGCCCACAAAGTGAGGAACTACCGCATCTTTGAGAAGGTGAGCTGGGGCCCCGCCCTGCGGGGGGTGTTGGTGGGTGGAAGCCTTGTCCAGGGCCCTGGGCGGGCGGGCTGTCCCCCGATGGCGGGGAGGCGGCGATGGACTGGGGCTGGCACCTTGGGGGCCCCGTCCACCCCTGCCTGCTCCTCGCCCTCTGTGTCCTCAGCCGACCTGGGGGAATGGGGCCGTCAGCGTTCGTCCTGGGCTTGCCTGCAGCCCTGGGTGGCGCCGGGGGAGGGAGGTGGCAGCTTGGCGGAGACTGAGGGGACGGGTGGCCGCCAGGTGCAGGCTTGGCCCTGACTCTCCTCCTCTCCAGGACTCTAAAGTCTACCTGGAGGGCGAGGCGATGTTTGCGAGCGTGGGCAGCCTGGCGGAACACTACCACACCCACGTGCTGCCTGGCCACCAGAGCCTGCTGCTGCAGCAGCCCTACGGCTACGCTGGGCCCAGGTGACCCTTCATCACACCGCTGGGCAAGAGGTGACCGCGGGGCCATGTGCCCAGGCCACGGATGGCGTCTGGCCCGTGGGGGAGGATGAAGAGGAGCTGCATCTGCTGGCAGCTGGGCCTCCCCATGGCACCTGCAGTCCTCCGGGCCAGGCTGCATGGAGATGGCGTCCCCACGACAGCAGGCTCGAGGGTTGTGGGTGCTCCTACTGCACCCCTCCTGCCCGGCCCCACCTCCCAGGAGCCCAGGGCCCCAGCCTTCACCAGGTTTTGTGGACAAGAATCTGACCCCCCAACACCCATCGTGCCGCAGTCTGGGAGCCTGGCAGGGAGGGGCAGCAGGAATGGGGACGGGCCGGGCTGGACCCGGGAACGCTAAGTTGCAGCTCTGCAGGGGGAGGCGGCACAATAAAGCACAGATGACCGTTGCCCCGTGCCTCTGTGGCCTGGCTCCGTGGGGGAGAGGGTGGCGCCTTGCTGAGCAGCACACCAAGGCCAACGAGACTGCAGACGCGGGTGAGGGCTGGGAGACCCCCGTCTTCCGGGCGGGTGCAGATGCTGCTCTGTGGCGCACCGCTGGCCCCACCCTGCCCCGCGCCAGCGCCGCATCCAGGGCATCGGCTGCACTGGGTCCACCGCTGGATCAGCACGCGGGTACCGAGCGCCTCCTGTGTGCCTGGCCCGGTGTGCACTGGGCGTGTGCTGCCCGCACCGCGGCCTCACAGCCTGGGCCCCAGCTGTGGGCCAGAGGCCCCTTGGAGGAAGTGACAGCTGCCCGGTGGTGGGGAGTGGGCCCCCAGCAGGGGGACTGGTAGGGGCCCTGGTACCCAGAGTCCTCTGGGAGACACCCAGCTCAGACCCCAGGATCATCTGACCTGCCCCGTTTTATGCTGGGAAAGAGGACTTGCTGTGTAAAACCCAACTGCGGCTGCCTCTGGCCTCCCCTGCCCCACCCGGGCAGGTGCGGGGCTGGGTGGCTGCAGGCGTGGGAGGGCTGGGCCGGTCAGCGGCCATCTGCTTCCAGGAGCAAGTGTCTGGCACCGTCTCTGCAGGTGTTTCCTGCAGGAGGGTCAGGGTGTCGAGGTCAAGTCTGGGGCACCGGGCGCCTGGCCCCGCACACACCATCTCTGGGAGAATGCAGCTCTGGTGCCATCTCTGCCCCATGGGGCACCGGGAGTACCTGTGCCCAACTGTGGTGGCTTCCCTCCTTGTGAAGTGTTTCCAGGAAACCTGTGCCTGGGGTCTGCGTGCTGGGGGTGCAGGGGGCCGGGTTGATGTGGCTTTTATCTAGCGTGTGCCTGGCCTCCTGGAGCCGGCTCCGTGGCTGAAAGCTGGCTGAAGGCCCCTGCACCAGAAGGTTCAAAGGGTCTGGGATCCAGAGTCTGGTGACAGGTCCTGTGGCCCGTCTGGCAGATGAGGCCTGTGGCTGCCCAACACCCACCTCAGGACCTGGCCCGGGAAACCTCACATTACCTCCTAGGCCTGGACCTGCTGGACAGCTGCCCATCCCTTTGTGAACTGCCCCTGGGCCCAGGGCCTCAGCTGTGAAAGTGCGTGTTGGGGGTGGTGGATGGGGTCCTGGGCCACGGTTCTCCAGCATGACAGGGCAGCCGCCGTGGCCCCACTCCTTCTTGAGACCTGCTGTGGAGGTCACTCCCTGTGTAGGGGTGGAGGCATGTGGTCTGTCCCATTTCACATGGAGCAAGGGCTCCCAGAAGCCTGCACTTCCTGCCACATCACCCGTCCGTCCTTCACTGCTCTGCGCCCTCATGATGCCTGCCTAGCTCCCCAGCACCCCCACACCTCAGAGTCATTGTGGGGTGTCCCATTAGTCCGTCTCCCAGGCTTCTGGGTGTGCCCCCACCCGCACCCAGCCAGGGGGACACAGCTACTGAACAGCTATCCCGTTCCCTCATCTTACAGGTAGGGAAACTGAGGCTCAGGGAGGTTTCATTGACTTGCCTAGCACCATGAAGAGGTTGGAGATGGCTCGCTTAGGAGAGGGGCTCCAGGCACTCTGGGCACCACTCCAGGCCAAGGTCCAGCCTGTCCACGCTGGCTGCAAAGCATGCCGAGAGCCTCCAGACCCTGTTGCTGGAGTTCCATTGTAAAAAGACATGATTTTAGAGATGGGAGAGACCTCCTAAAGCAGGTCCAGAGCCCAAACACCCCCAGCCCTGAGCCGCATCTTGGACAGCGCCCCCGCCAGGCCTAGGGGGGGTGGGTGCCTCTGGCAGGATACAGGAAGACAGCAGCAGGCCTGGCGCCAAGGGGCTTCCTGCCCAGGGCCCACTGGAGGGATGGCCAGCCAGACACCAAGACCACTCAGTTGTAGGGCAGAACTGGCGCTTGGCCCAAATCCGCGTGTCTGGGAGGCGGAGAGAGGGAGCCAAGGAGAAGACTGTCCCGCAGCCTGACCCCACGGGCCCCGCCGGCTCCTGATCTGTGCCTGTGTGTCCTGTCCCTCCCCTGGAAAAGATGGCCCGCCGGGGGCCCGGGGGACTCCAGGGGGCAGTGGCCATCCGCATCCTCCCAGCTCTCCCACGCTGGGTTGGGTGGTGCAGAGCAGATGCACCCCTTGGAACTTCCTCCCTGCGGGCCCTGGCTCCCTGCGGGGCTACCCAGAGGCGGGGGGGGGGGGGGGGGGGGGGGGGGGGGGGGGTGCTCCCGCATCCTTTCCCAGTGGCCTAAACCACTAGGTGAGATCAGCCGCCGCCCTGCCTGGGGAAGCCCTGCCTGGGGAAGCGCTTCAGAGCGCGTTTTGCTCTGAAGCCTGCACCGCCGCCCACCTCCGCGCCTCCCGCGGTGCCCTTTTCCTGTTTGTGCTTTCTGTGCTCCAGAGTTGAGGGGTGGCTGCTTTAGCTCCAACTCTGATTTGCCCACAGGGGCGTCCTTGGTCTGTCCAAGCTCATGGCTGGGAGCGGCTGTTGTTTGGGCTCCTGTGGCCGTAGGACTCAGGTCTGGCCCCACCTGGGGTGCCGACAGAGGCCACAGGTGCCCGTGTGGCCCTAGGGCCCGGCCCAGGAGCTGAACCTGGGCCCCAGGGCGACACGGTGCGCTGATTTCCAGGAGCAGGGTTGTTCCAGCTGGCACTCCCACCGGCAGCGGGGCTCCTTGGCTTGCACGTCCTCGCCAGTGCTCGGTTTTGTCACACTTTGTTCGTTTTTTGCTAATCTGGTGGGTGTGATGATGGTTTTAATTTGCATCCAGCTAATTACTAATGAAGTTGAGCACATTTTCATGTGTTTATTAACCATTTTGATTTTGCTTCCTCCAAAATGTTGTCTTCTGCCCATTTTCCTGTTTTCTTATGACTCCTGTTTTCTTACGGGTTTCTCTAGTCTTGCTGTCCCAGTCACCTGCGCTGCCAATATCTTCTCTGACTCTGGTTTTCTGCATGTGGTACGAGGGGAGGGTTCGCTTTCATCCCCGTCCCCCTTGTGGCCACAGACCTATGTCCGCAGCCTTTATTTATAACCTGCCTGGCCCGGTCCCCTGGCCCGCGCCCATGTCCGTGCAGGTGCGTCTGGCTCGGTGCTGTTTCACCCACCCGTCTACGCCTGCGCCAGTGTCAAGAGGCTTTGGTTACTGCAGCTCAGCTCTGTCTTGACAGCTGGCGAAGCCAGTCCTTCCTCCCGAGGCTGAACAATGTCATCTTGTGTGGAGACAGACACCTTCTGTCTGCCCAGGCAGGTGCCCTGAGGATGGTCGCTGCTGCCTTTCGGCTCCTGTTCCTGCTGTCGCCACGGACACACACGTCTCTGTCAGGCTGTTTCCATCTCTCCGGGCAGCCTCCGGGAGTAGGGGCAGGATTGCTGGCTTTGGTGTCCACGGCACTGTGATCCGATCCGCGTGCTGGGTCCATGGCGACTCTTTAGCTTTTTGAGGAAGCGCCATACCCCTTTCCACCGGGCTGCGTCTCTCCCCAGCCTCGCCACACTTTTCAGAGGCCGCCCCAGTGGACATAGAGTGGTGTCCAGTGGTGGTTGTGGCTTGCAGCTCCCCAGTGCTTATTGCTCCTTCTCATGTGCTCTTCGGCCATCTGTCCACCGTCAGAGAACTTTCTTTTTTTATTTTTTGAAGATTTATTTATGCACAGAGAACTGGGGTGCAGGCCAGAGGCGCGGGGGTGAGGGGTTCAGAGCGGGGAGCAGAGCAGCAGACTGACCGGCGCTCCCTGCTGGGGGGCGGCGGGGCGGCGGGAGGGCCCGGCGCGCCCAGTGGGCAGCTCCCTGGGGGGCATCGACCCCGTGCAGTGGACCCCGCCTTCGTCTGTTGTTTTTCTGCCTTTCCCTCAGGCCACCTCGGCTCGGCTGGGGCGGCGGGCCGCTCTGCGCCCACCCCGGCCCGGGCGCTGGGGACGGGTCGGCCCGGGGGAGTGCCCGCCCCGGCTGCGCCGCCGTCCGCCGGGCCCCGGGCGCCTCCCGCCGCCCGCCCGCGCGCTGCCCACCGCGACCCGCCGTCGGGGCGCGGGGCGGGCCGGGGCGGGGCGCGGCGGGGGCGGCCGCGGGGAGCCGGGGCCCGAGAGCCGCCCCGCCCCCGCCTCGGCCCCGCCCCCGCCCCGGCCCCGCCCCGCCGCGCTCACCCGGCCGCGCTCAGCCAATCGCAGGGCGCGTTGCTGGGCGGCGCGGCGCGGGCCGGGCCTATGGGGTGGCGCGTGTTTGGCGGCCGCGCGCAGGCCGCACCCAGCTGGCCGGCGCGGGCCGAGGCGCGGGCCGAGGCGCAGGCGCGGGCGGGGCCGAGCGAGCCGAGCCCACCCGAGCGACGGGCGGCCGAGCAGACCCGGGAGCCGCGGCCCGACCTTCTCCCGCGAGGTGAGGCCCGCGCCGAGCGGCGGCGGCGCGACGAGGCCCAGGCCCGGCGGGTCCGGCTCTCCCGCGGGCCCGCGCCCCGCTCCGCGCTCTCGGGACCCCGCAGCCCCTCGGGGCTGCCCCTGCGCCGCGGCCCCGCCGCCGCTCCCAGGGCCCCGCGCCCGCCGCTGCGGCCCCGGGCCCCGGTGGGCGGAGGCCGCGCGGCCCGGCGGGGCCCGTCCCCTGCCCCTGCGGGCGGCGCGGGCGGCGGGGGCGGCGGGGCGGGGGGAGGCGGGGGCGGGGCGCGGGGCCTGCGCTGCGCGGGCCGGCCGGCGGGGCCCGCGGTTCGGCCGCAGGTTGGGGTTTAGAGCCCGAGCCCGGCCTCGCCCCTCGGGCCTGTGCGGGGCTCTGGGCCCAGCCGCGCCTGCCGGGGCGGGGTCCGCCGCCCCCCCCCCCCGGCCGCGCGCGCCTGCGGTTCCCCGCGACGCGCCCGCAGAGCCGCTTCAGTCGGCGGCGCCTCCTCGCCCCCCGCCGGGCGTCGTCGGGCCGGGCCGCGGCTCGAGCGGTGCCGGAGAGACTTGGCGCGCGCCGGCCGTCCCGCCCGCGCGGCGCGTCCTCCTGCCGCCTCGTCGTACGGAGTTTGACGCGGAGCGAAGGAAGTTGCGGGCGCCCGGGAGCCCAGCCCCGCGCCGCCTCCCGCGCCGCCTCCCGCGCCGCCTCCCGCGCCGCCCGTCGCCGTTCAGCTGTGGACCGGCCCCGCGGCGCGGCGCGGCGGCCGCGGGCTCTTCATTCTGGGCCTCTGCAGACGTCTTTCATTTCATTTCATTTTGTTTTTTAAAAAAGATTTATTTATTTATTTACACAAGCACGGGGCACAGTCAGAAGCGCGGGAGGGCGAGAGAATTCACCAGAGCCAGAGCGGGAAGCAGAGCAGGCAGAAGGACCGAAGGACACTGCTGAGGGGAGCCGCGGGCGGCAGGAGAGGTCTGCGCGCCATGTGGGACCCTCCTCCAGGGCCGGGGAGCAGCCGGGGATCGAACCGGCGCCGCAGAGGCTGCGCCACCGGGGAGGCCCTGCAGACTCTGTCTTTTAAAAGCATAGATACCACTTCCACAAGAAACAGTTCTTTATTGCCTCCAGATACTCCGCGTTAACCTTCTCTCGTCTCCTGTGTCCCCAGCAGCCTGGGCCGCATCCGAAGGGCAGCCGTCCCTGCAGACTTCGTTTAACCGGTGGCTTCCCGCCCCGTCTTTGCTCTTCTCCTTCAACTTACTTATGACATTCCACGCTTTGCCCTGTGGAGTTACAGTCTGGATTTTACTGCCCGGAAGTTGCTGTAAATTGGTAGTTAGATCTAAAAGTGTGATCTCGTGCGGGCTGGATGTGCTTTATTAAGATTTGATTTATTTTGGGCAAGAAGGTTAGGGGGCAGACTGATGAGCAATCTTAGTTCTCGTCACTCAGTTTCGCTAGATGTTGAAAAATGTTGACATTTTAATTCTTTTACTTCACATATTAGTGGAATACTTCTCTAAAGAGAAATTTTCACTCCTTTATTTGATTACTTTGAATTACAGCTCTTTTAGGAAAGGCATGGTAAATTCTTAATTAGTCTCTATTATTTACTAGTTTTCAAAATAATGACTTGGCATCCTCAAGCAGTAGTCAGTGAGGGCCTCCCTGGTGGCACAGGGTTACAGTCTCAGTGCTGTTATCAAGCTATCTGCAGCCTCTGCAGCATGAGTTCGATTCCTGGGCAGGGAGCAGCCCACATGGCACAGCAGACCTCTCCTGTCTCCCTGCTGCTCCCCTCAGCAGTGGATTTCAGTCAACGCGCCTGTTCTGCTCCCCACTCTGTCTCTGGTGAATTCTCCTCCCCCCCCCGCCCCCGCACCTCTGGCCTACACCCCTATTCTTGTGTGCAGAAATAAATAAATCTTTTTTTTAAAGTAACTTTAAAAAAAAATCATTTGCTTTGGTTCAGCCCACTAGACACTGTCCTTATTGGTGCTCAGATTGGCTCATGTTTGTCCAGTATGGTCTGCTCAGGGTGACTCCTGACTGCTGCCGGCACGGATCTACTGGCCTCCCGTGGCTCTTTTTGTGGTATAACAAACTACATTAGGCTCAACTTGTACGGTTTCTGTTCCAACCCTGGAGCCAGTTATTTCTTCAAGGGGCCTTTATTTATTTATTTAGTTCAGACTTTAAAAGATTTATTTATTTATTTATTTATTTATACAAGCACTGGGTACAGTCAGAAGTGCGAGAGCGTGAGAGGATTCACCAGAGCCAGAGTGGGGAACAGAACAGGCAGAAGGATTGAAGCACTCTGCTGAGGGGAGCAGCGGGCGGCAGGAGAGGTCTGTGCGCCATGTGGGACCCTCGCTGGAGGTCGGGGAGGTCGGGGATCGAACCGGCACTGCAGAGGCTGAGGGCACCTTCACAGCCCAGCGCTCAACCGCTGGGCCACCGGGGAGGCCCAGGGCCTTGATTTATTTTTCTGGAGAATGGTACTGACTGACCTGCAGTCTGGGCCCTGGGGCTGTGCAGCCCGACTTGGCTGGTCTCTCCGTCAGCGTGCAGAGACTGGGGAACTTGTCCTGAGCTGGTCGAACAAAACCACAGGGTTCTGTTTTCCCTTCTAGATCTCACAGCAATGTTTTATTCTTCTGAGACAGGCGTCTTGATTCTGCTGCACGTTGTTTTATCACACACGGCTGCCTCTCAGCCTCAGAAGGATACACTAGGGTAACCAGCTAACTGTGGTACAGGCCAGAGGCATGGGAGGGTGAGAGGATTCACCGGAGACAGAGTGGGGAACAGAACAGGCAGACTGAAGAAATACACTGGTGAGGGGAGCAGCAGGCGAGACAGGAAAGGTCTGCCATGCCATGTGGGGTTCTTGCCGGCCAGGATCGAACCCGCGCTGCAGAGGCTGTGGACAGCTTCACAGCGCAACGCTCAACCTGCCTGCGCCACCAGGGAGGCCCTGAGAGGGGATTTTGCGTCCTTGCTAGGGATGTGGAGTCCATTACTGATTAAAGTCCCTTGGAGTGTGATTCTGGGCATAGAGTTCTTTTGTTTTTTTTTTTATTTAGCTTTCAGTATTTGGGGATTGCTTTTTTAAATTTTAGCTTTGTTAATTAGGTAAAATATTAAAAAGCTTTCATGCTTACCTGGCAGGGGAGATACCATGATCACAAAGATGGTTTTCCCAGGGTGGTGCTTGTCCATGGCACTCCGGGTGTGCTGACTCTTGCCATGTCCCCAAATGTGGGAAACTTGCCTGCATGATTTGTGGTAGTGGGGGACTGCGTTCGCGCGCTCCCTGGTAACACGATTATTTATTTGTTTTATGGAACTTTTTTTTAAAGATTTATTTATTTATTTATACAAGCACTGGGTACAATCAGAAGTGTGGGAGGGTGAGAGAATTCACCAGAGCCAGAGGGGAGAGCAAAACAGGCAGACTGATGAAGTATACTGCTGAGGGGAGCAGTGGGCGGCAGGAGAGGTCAGCAGGAGAGGTCTGCACGCCATGTGGGACCCTCCTCTGGTGGCCGGGGAGCAGCCGGGGATTGAATTGGTGCTGCAGCGGCTGCGGGCAGCTTCGTAACCCAGCGCTCAACCGCTGCGCCACCGGGGAGGCCCTATAGAACTTTTTTTTTTTTTAAGATTTATTTAAGCATACAAAAGCTGGGGTACAGGCCAGAGATGCGGGGGTGAGAGGATTCACCAGAGACAGAGTGGGGAACAGAACAGGAGGACTGAAACACACTGCTGAGGGGAGCAGCGGGGAGACCAGAAAGGTCTGCTGCGCCCTGTGGTGAGGGGATCGAATTGGCTGGCCGGGGATCAAACTCGTGCTGCAGAGGCTGGATTACCTCACAGTGCGGTGCTTAACCCCTTACGTCACCAGGGAGGTCCTGGTTTTTTATTTAAAAGAAAAAAAGCTTTCAGAATCAAACGTGTAAATGTAAGACAAGGCGCATGCAGAGGAGCCTGCTGCTTCTGCTCCCAGCCTCCGTGCTCCCTCCCTGCAGTCTCCATAGATGGCTCTTTAATCTCCTGTTTGTGGTGACATTCATCCCTCTGCTCTGGTAGATAAATAGTGGTGGACTAGATACATTTCTCCACCATGTGCTCAAATTTTTTTATTATGCTAAAATAGAGGCAACATAAAATTTTACCATCTTAATCATTTTAAAGTATATAATTCGGACGCATCAGTCATACTGTTGTGTAGCCATCACCACCGCCCGTCCCTGTAACCCTCCATCCCTGTATCAGTTTTGCATTTTTCTTCTTTAAAACAGCTGCCGTTATAGCTCCTTAGTTAGATGAACACACTTGGGTTGGTTTCAGAAGTGGTACTCCTGAAGTAAAATAGATTACCTGTTGATATAGTAAGTTCATTATTGTTAATCAGATTGTTAACATCAAATTTTAATAATCTGTTGCTTTACCCTTTATTCTCTTGCCATATACATAGTCACTGGACTTTGAGACATATAACTTTTTTTTTTTTAAAGATTTGTTTATTTATTTATGTATACAAGCACTGGGTACAGTCAGAAGCGCGGGAGGGTGAGAGAATTCACCAGAGCCAGAGCGGGGAGCAGAGCAGGCAGAAGGACCGAAGCACACTGCTGAGGGGAGCAGCGGGCGGCAGGAGAGGTCTGCGCGCCATGTGGGACCCTCCTCCGGTGGCCGGGGAGCAGCCGGGGATCGAACCGGTGCTGCAGAGGCTGCGGGCAGCTTCGCAACCCAGCGCTCAACCGCTGCGCCACAGGGAGGCCCAGAGACATAATAACTTTAAAGTGTAAAATATTAGACCTACAGGTTGTGAAGAAATGTCTGTAGCTGTGGTTATTAATGCTGATTTGCTCACATCAGTTGGGTCAGTTCTGTCTTCGGAATCCACTGTGAATCAGTCCTCCTGTCCCATCTCCGTGGTCACAGCCGGAGACTCGCTGCCATCGTCTCTCGGACTGTGCCAGCTTTCAGCTGGTCTCTCCCGGCCCTTCCTTCCTGCTCATTCTCCGCCCATCAGCCAGGGTGATTTACCAGGAGCTACCCACATGGCGCAGCAGACCTCTCCTGTCTCCCCGCTGCTCCCCTCAGCAGTGTGTTGCAGTCAGTCTGCCTGTTCTGCTCCCCACTCGGTCTCTGGTGGATCCTCTCACCTCCCCCCCCCCCCGCCCGTGCGTCTGGCCTGTACCCCGGCTCTTGCATGCATAAATACATAAAATTTAAATTGGATCATGTTCTGTCTTGCTTAAGACCTTTCAAAGACAGATGGTGGTTGCTTCTAAGGGGCCATATGGCTGTTGGGAGGGAGGGTGGGAGACTGACCAGTGTGTGGCCCCGTGATTGGATGATGTACTCAGAATAAAGTATGTCTGCAAACAAAATAAAAAAGTCCATTATACCCGTAACGAAATCCAGATTTCTTACCATGATCTCCAAGCTTATTTTCTACCTTTCTTCCTCTTGCTCATTTATTTTGCATTTCCAGAGGACTTCCTAGAACTTGCCTGGCCCTTTTTTGATTTAGGGAATTACATGTTGCTCCCTCTGCATGAATTTATCCTTGAAAGCCTGGTAGTTGAGTAAGGAAAAGAATGTCAAGCTGTGCAGGAAAAGTGATTTTTGGCTAAAGCTTTTGTCGTCATGTTTTATGGCAGTGCCTTACACATGCATCCCTACCCCTTCAGCCTGCTGAACCCTGACCTTGGACCAGGCAATTCAGATGAATCCCTGATTCATAACCACTGACTGCCCTTGGCCTTGCTCTTAGAAGTGGGCCCCCGTTTAACCAGTCTTGGCATGGACCAGGACCGCCATTCTGGAGGTGGCGTTACTACTGGGTACGTAGGTCGTGGTTAAGTGCCTCACGATTTTCCTTTGAGATTTTTCCAGCTCTTTTTAAATGATTACTGAGAAATAGAGATATGCTGTTAAATGTTGAATTGCTAAAATTTAGTTTATAATTTTGAGTTTTCATCTTCTTAAATACTTGTTAGGCATTGTGCTTCTGTGTATTATCTCACTTAATCCTCGTGACAGTTCTTTTATTTTTATTTTTTAAAGATTGGTTTATTTATGCATACAAGAGCTGGGGTACAGGCCAGAGATGCGGGGTCGGGGTGTGAGAGGACTCACCAGAGACAGAGTGGGGAACAGAACAGGCAGAGTGACTGAAATACACTGCTGAGGGGAGCAATGGGTGAGACAGGAGAGGTCTGCTGCTCCGTGTGGGTTGCTGCAGAGGCTGCGGATTTGCTTCATAGTGCGGTGCTGAACCCCTTGTGCCACCAGGGAGGCCCTCACTTGTTTTTAGATGCTCTGCTCTTGTACTTTATAAGGCTGGGATGAAGGCATAGATGGAGATTCTTTCCATGGTGAACAGTCTAATTAAGTAGATAATATATTTTTTTTCTTGGGCCTTCCTGGTGGCGCAAGGGGTTAAGAAATGATCTGTGAAGCTTGCTGTAGTCACTGCAGCACTTCGATCCCCGGCCAGGGAGCTACCCACATGGTGCAGCAGACCTCTCCTGTCTCCCGCTGCTCCCCTCAGCAGTGGATTTCAGTCAGTCTGCCTGTCCTGCTCCCCACTCTGTCTCTGGTGAATCTTCTCATCCCCCACACCTCTGGCCTGTACCCCAGCTCTTGTGTGTATAAATATATATTTTTTAATTTTTATTTTTTAAATATTTATTTATACAAGCACTGGGTACAGTCAGAAGCGCGGGAGGGTGAGAGAATTCGCCAGAGCCAGAGCGGGGAGCAGAACAGGTAGACTGACGAAATACACTGCTGAGGGGAGCAACGAGCGTGGCAGGAGAGGTCTGCGCGCCATGCGGGACCCTCCTCCCGTGGCCGGGGAGCAGCCGGGGATCGAACCGGTGCTGCAGAGGCTGCGGGCAGCTTTGCAGCCCAGTGCTCAACTGCTGCGCCACCAGGGAGGCCCAATAAATAAATCTTTAAAAAAAAAAGCATATATGGGCCTCCCCGTTGGCGCAGCGGGTGAGCGCTGGGTTGTGAAGCTGCCCTCGGCTTCTGCAGAGCCGGTTCGATCCCCGGCTGCTCCCCGGCCACCGGAGGAGGGTCCCGCATGGTGCGCAGACCTCTCCTGTCTCACCTGCTGCTCCCCTCGGCAGTGTCTTCAGTCTGTCTGCCTGTTCTGCTCCCCGCTCTGTGTCTGGTGAATCCTCTCACCCTCCCATACCTCTGCCCTGTGCCCCAGTTCTTGTATAAATAAATAAATCTTTAAAAAAAAAAAAGAAAGAAATTCGTTTTACCTTGAGTAGAATTTTCTACTTCATTATTCTAGTTCTGTCCCAGAATGAATTTTTGTATCTTATGTTTTTCCTGTAATATATTTTAGTTGTGGTTTAATAGAGCTACTTGGAGTCAGAAAGACCCGGTCACACCCTGCTGCTTATTAACTCTCCTGAGCTGGCGAGGAGAGGGCTCCTGGGGGGTGAGGTGAGGTGTGAGCGAGCTGGCTGTCCTCCCACCCCCTCCCTCCCTCCCTTCCTCCACCACAGGCCTTTGGGCAAGTCACTTCCCTTTTTCTGAACTTCGTTTCTTCACCCAGTGGGTGGGGTCATACCTTCCTCGCCTGCTTTGTAGTGTTTGCAGGAAGCTTACATGAAAAAGTACTTTGTCGGTGCCACCGTAAGGGTGCTGTAGCGGCAGGAAGGGCAGAGCTGGTTCTCTCTGATCCGAGCAGACGGGGTAAAGGAGAGTCCTGGAGCCCTCGGTAGGTTTCTCAGGCTTCTACATACAGTGCGGCAACCAGGGACACGGCCGGCAGGGCTGCTGGGGGGCCAGGAGGCCAGTTGGCCTCTCAGCCTGTGCCAGATGTTCGCTCTGGGTTCTCTGGCGTTCTTTCTCCCCTTCTCACTCCGGTTCTGTCTCCAGCCTCTGCTTCTCTTGGCGAATATATCAATAGCTGCCATGGCTCGCAGAAGTAAACAACGCAACTTACAGCAGTGCAACAAACACATGCCGGTGCTCCATCATCAGGCCTCAGTCCTCATGGCAGGAGGGCAGGAAAGCCTGAAAATCCTTATCCTGCAGGTGCGCTGCGCTATCCTACGCTTACTCACTACGCCTGGGTGCAGAAACGGAGAGGGGAGCCATGCCAGTATTGCCTTAAATGCTCCTAACGTGCACCCTCAGCAGATGTTTATTTTGTGCCTTTTGGCTGTGGAACATTGTACTGTGAAGTCAGGGGAGGCTGGGTGCCTTTCCTTTGAGCTAGCCAGACGAGGCGACGGCCTGGGACAAGAGGCGGCGTGCAGCTCAGCGCGCCCAGAATTTA